GCACATAATACTCGAAAAACCTAGTAATTCCTGCAAGAAAACTTTTACGTGTTTTAAAAAAGATTCAATGTTTTTAAATTAAAATTGGACAAAGAGGGTTAAAAATCATTTTAAAAAATAAATTTCATTAAATACTCAAACACAGTGTTTTTTTTTACTTAACTCGGTAAAACTTAAATATTTTCGATTCTGTAAATTATTTGAATTCCGAAATTCAACCGAGTATCAATGATACCCAATTTAATAAGTTTTCTAAATGTTCATTTTCATTTATACTGAGATGGAAATTAAAGAATTTGATCCGCGGTTTAAATCTGCCAAAACCCGGTTTAAATTAAGCGCTGGCATAAATTTTGAAACATTTGATACAATTTTCAGTGGAACCAATCATATTTAAGCCGCAGCTTAAATTTAAACCGCCGCTCAAATTCTTTAAATTTGGCCACTGGTTACTTTATAAACCCCCTGTGAGGGGCACATTTATGAACTTTGTGAAAAATGTATTAAATTAAAATGTCTTAGTATTCCTAGTAGAAAACTTTTTTGCTTCTGTTAAATAGTTTTAGTTCACACCCTTACTTAATATATAGGGTGTCCCACAAAACATGCAGTTTATGTATAGTTTTAAAGGTCTTCTTCCAAATGCTGAATTGGATAATTCAGACTTTTCGCAATTTATTTAGTTAAAAAATGTTTTACTCAAATATATCTTAACTTAAATCAGTTTTAAAATAACATGACTGCCATATTTTTTCTTATTCTCTTTGGTATTGAACAGCTTAACAGATTATGGAAGAAGAAATATTAAACTACTCACCAACTGTCATGTTTCGTGGGACACCCTGTAGCTGAATAGTGTACACTTAAGAACGGTTCTTATTGCACAATCAAGCTTTACTAAAATAAATAGCAAAAGAATTAAGAAAAATTGTCTTTCTAATTTTCTTTATGTGTTAACTGGATGCTAATCTGCATAAATTTGTATTTCTTATTTTAAAGATAAACGTGTAAATAATATATTATTAAATAAAATATTATCACAAATAGTCAAAGATTTATATATATAACATGCAGCAAAATTAATTTTATTTCATTATGTTCAGGGTGTTAGGAAACTATAAGGCTGAATCAAAAACCATAGTTTTTACATACTATTGAGACTGTGTTTGATGTTACGCATGGCCTTGACCTTTTTAGTAATACATTTTTTTTGTAGCCTTGTTACTTGTTGTGTAGCCTTGTTACTTGTTGTGTAGCCTTGTTACTTGTTGTGTAGCCTTGTTACTTGTTTTGTNCTATGCTAGTTGGTGCAGAGCTAAAATATAAAAGATAGTTTACAACAAGGTATGTATGCTAGTTGGTGCAGAGCTAAAATATAAAAGATAGTTTACAACAAGGTATGTATGACTATGCTAGTTGGTGCAGAGCTAAAATATAGAAGATAGTTTACAACAAGGTATGTATGCTAGTTGGTGCAGAGCTAAAATATAGAAGATAGTTTACAACAAGATATGTATGACTATGCTAGTTGGTGCAGAGCTAAAATATAAAGGGAAGGCAAAGCTGTTATTGACTGATTTGAACAGTTAAATCTAAAGTAATCAGTACATGAAAAGTAATCCTAAATAAGTTAAAAAAAAATAATATTTTTGTTAATTGACTTTTAACCTTTCATTTATTTTTGAATAATTAATCAATTACGACAAGGTTAAGGGCTACGGCCCTCCAATATGAGGTTTCAAGTAACTTATTTTAAAGATTAGTCATGAAATATAAGTAGTCACTAACCTCAGTGTAGAATGAATAAGTGATGAAACTAAACCAGAGCGCGCAACTGAACTCATTTCTCCGACAAGCACAGTAGATACTGTGCACGCGCTTAAACTAGACTCGGAGCATCTAAATATAGTTCAACCTAAGGTTCTAGTGCTCCCATAGCTTTGTTTCATAAAAAGGTGTACTAAATTTTCAAGCAATCACGAAAACAAAAGTATTGCTGCTCAGGCTGACCTTTGTTTACATTTCTCCCAGAAACTGCAGTCAAAAAATATAGAAGTTCCTCTCATTCATATTCTTAACTCTCATTCATTTTCTTAAGATAAATTTGACATAAATCTTGCTTGGCCAACAAACAAACAAAATGTTTGTGGATTTAAACTTAAGATATTAACCTAAACAATGTTTGTGGATCTCAATACCTGACAGGATATTCTCGTTGAAGGCTGTTGGTATAAACCTGGAGAAGAAATCCTTCTTGCAAGCATCCTGAAATATAAAAGATCAATCAAATCAATCGAATCTTGTAAATTGATTTGTCTTCATCTCTTTAAATCAAACATGCAGATCAAATCAATCGATAAGCATTTAACAATTAACATATCAAAGCATACGTTCTGAAATTGAATTGACCAATTTTATCAGCTATTGTCAAATAAAAGTACTGTTAACGGAAGAGAGAAAACCATATAGTTAAAATCCATTTACTTTTTACCTTTCTAATTAAGTTACCTAAGGATTCATTTTAAAATAAAGCCTAACTGTGACGTTGCTTTGTTAAATCTTGATATTTATAGGATAAACTCAATTACTCAATTAAATCTATCCATGCTGGGTATGACCACCACGAAATATTGAAATGTAAATTAAATTTTAAAATAATCAAAGCGTCAAAAAAACGATATTATTATTCCTATTTCAGAACTCTAATCAATACTTGATCCCGAGATTTACAAAACAAAAGTTCTAATTTTAGATCAGTTCTTTCCTGATAAAATAGTTTATTTTTTATTCTACTGTTACACCTCTGATAATTTGATGAGATATTCTCATATTAAGTTCAGGCAGAAGAAATTTATCTGATAGGGAGAGAAGTTCCAACTGTTCCTGAGCTGTAAGTGTATGGAACACTGAACACCAACTAAACATGATATAAATAGTTCCAACTGTTTAAGGTCTGAGACTGTTATTAATTTAGCCCTGGTACATTAAAATTTTACATAGATAAATAGAATTTAGAAAAGGATTAAATATGACAGAAGTACAAAATAAAATGAATACACATAGGCGCTGAAATATCAAAAGAAAACAGATCAGAAAGGATACAAGCATGGATTAGTGATACTCAGAATTAGATTAATAAATACCTGGATTTAGTTGACTCCTTAAACCCTCCTCCAAGCATAGCTGCGAATACAGGAGAGGCGGAGCTGATAAACTCTCGTCCTACTTCTATCTCAGATTTATCATCTAGAACTAGAACTAGATCTTCAGCTTCCAAGCTCCCAGTTCTAACCAAAATAGGATATTTTATGTGTCATGTTTTTTTTATTGGATAGTTGAATCGGTTTATGCACTATGTTTCCTTAACACGTGAGCAGATTAAAATATTTCCTGGAATCAGGATATATATTTTTCTCTGGATCAAGAGATGACTAAAAAGTAACGCCACACCGGACAACCTAACGTAAGTTTGATTTCTGCATCGAGCAGAAAAGCTTGAAACTGACTGGAGCAAAAAGTTTTAAATCCTTCCTGGATCAAAAGCTTTAAATTCACCTGAAGCGGATAGGTTTAAATTCTGCATAGAGCAGGAAGCTTTAAATTCACCAGAAGCGGATAGGTTTAAATTCTACCTAGAGCAGAAAGCTTTAAATTCACCAGAAGCATATAGGTTTAAATTTTACCTAGAGCAGGAAGCTTTAAATTCACCAGAAGCGGATAGGTTTAAACTCTACCTGGATCAGGAAGCTTTAAATTCACCAGACGTGGATAGGTCTAAATTCTACCTAGAGAAAGAAGCTTTAAATTCACCACAGCAGCACAGCAGAAAGGTTTAAATTCTACCCGGATCAGGAAGCTTTAACTTCACCAGAAGCGGATAGGTTTAAATTCTACCTGAATCAGGAAGCTTTAAATTCACCAGAAGCGGATAGGCTTAAAGTCTACCTAGAGCAGGAAGCTTTAAATTCACCAGAAGCGGATAGGATTAAATTCTACCTAGAGCAGAAAGCTTTAAATTCACCAGAAGCGGCTAGGTTTAAATTCTACATAGAGCAGGAAGCTTTAAATTCACCAGAAGCGGATAGGTTTAAATTCTACCTGGAACAGGAAGGTTCAAATCCTACCTAGAGCAGGAAGGTTTAAATCCTAACTGGAGCATCTAGAGGGCAAAAAGGTTTAAATCCTACTCGGAGTATGATTGTTTAAGTTCTACCTGCAGCAAGAAGGTTCAAATTCTACCTGGAGCAGGAAGGTTTAAATCTTACCTCCAGCACGAAGGATAAAATTGTACATGGAGCAGTAGATATAAACTGTACCTGGAGCAAGGTGTTTTCTCCTCTGGAACCAAAGTTAGCATCGGAGAAACTATACCAAGATGACCGGCAACTACAGAGAGGGAGAGAACAGCATCTCTCAACAAATCTCCTTAAGTAAGAAAAAATTAACATAAAGAAAAAAAGGAAAAATTCTTTTAACATTTTAAAAAAATCCCCGGGTTTTCCAATAAAATTATTCAGTGCTAAAGATCTGGATTCGGGCAAAATATCAACCAAAACATGTTAAAAACCTTTTTGCTCTCAGACTACAAATCTCACTTATTGAAAAAGGAGAGATTACTAAAAATTCTAAAATCTATGCATGGTTTATAAAGTTTTAGCATGAAATACAATTTTTCATTTGTTAAAAATGTCAACAAATCTTTTAAGATGAAGGTTTAAAACAAACCGGGGTTTACCTTTTTCCTGTTCTACTATATCCAGTAATGTTTCTAAACTGTCATGGTTTATCAGAATATTCTGCAGTTTTCTTCTTTGTTTAACAAGCAGAGTAGCAGATACAGATATATTCTAAATACTCGATCTTTAACGGATTTGTAACTGAAAAATAATTATTGTCTAGAACTAGGAACATTTGTTGAAAAATGAGGAGGCTGAAAGTTTAACATGCCATTACTCCAATTTAGTCATGCAGAATTACAGATACGACTCTGGACCTAATAAGATTTTAAAACTTGCTTCTTATCAATAGCTCTCCAGAAGAAGAAGCTATCATAAAATGAAATATATGTTTTACAAGTAATTAGAAATTAGGACTATAGGTCCTAAGAAACAAGGAACAGGGTTTGCTACAGAGTTACCCACAAAGAATAAGACTGTATGGACGACCTATAAATATTAAAAACAAGACTAATATTGATTTTTTGGTTTCTGTCTACAATTCAGTATTCAATGGTTTACTAAATGATAAAGTACAGAAATAAGCCAGTTTTGTCCTACAAAAAACCCTGAATGTAAGAAAAGGGACTAAACAAATTTCGTAAAGTCGTTATTTATTGTGTGTAACCCAGTATCTTTATAACCCATCCCAATCGAGACTGCTCTGGTTGGCAGCTCCCCGCCCTTTCTGGCACTCATCTGGCTTACCGAACACATCTTATATACCTGTTTATCAGCCTGACTGAAGGTAGGGTTGACCAGCCTATGGCAGATCTCCCCTTCCCCGTACCCCGTCTCAGTAAGGAGTGTGAGGTTGTGCAGCACCTCCCTCATTGTTTTCATCACGTTCAGGTCGTGCTCCTTACAGGTCTTACAGCAGGTACCCTCCCCAACCTAGAATATTGATAATTGCGGTCAACCTTTAATTCTTGGAGACCAGGCTTGAGCTCACTTTCATTCAAGCTCCAATAAATTAACTAATTTATGAGCTGATTGTGGGGTCAGAACCTATACAGTATACACATATACAGACTAAAAAGAATAAAAAATGGATTTAGACTTGATAACTGGTTAATACAAGTTCAAAGTTCAGAAACTACTCCTCTCTCCAACTCCTCGGCTCCATCTCAAACGGCGCAGCTCTTTCTTCGATCCCTCTTTTCTCTTTCCAACCCCTTTTTTTTCCCTACAACTTATCTTTTCTCCCTTCAATCCCTCTTTTCTCTCCATCCCCTCTTTACTCTCTCCAACCCCTCTTTTCTCTCTCCATCCCCACTTATCTCTCTTCATCCCCTCTACTCTCTCAATAACNACTTTTCTCTCTCCATCCACTCTTTTCTCTCCAACCCCTATTTTCTCTCTCCATCCACAAATATCTCTCCCCATCCTTTCGTTACTCTCTCTAACCGCACTTTTCTCTCTTCATCCCCACTTGACTCTATCCATCCCCACTTATCTATATCCATCCCTACTTTTATATATCAATCCCCACTTATCTCTCCAACTCCTCTTTTCTCTCTCCAACCCCACATTTCTCTATCCAACCCCGCTTCTCTTTATATAATCCCCGCGTATATCTATCCATCCTAACTTATCTCTCTAACTTCTTCAGCCCCTCTTTTCTCTATTTATCCTCACTCATCTATATCCATTCCCACTTATCTCTGTAACCCCACGTTTCTCTATCTATACCAGGTTAAGGTAAGGCCATAAAAGAATTTTGTACTCAGAATACACCAAATCCCGTAACTTATAATAAACTCATTTTTGGTAGCTGTATCGCGGAGTTAAACAAGGATGCACCCTATCTCCCCTCTTATTTGCTCTATACATTGCTGGATTGGGAATTTGCCTACAAGAGACAAAGCTAGAGATTGATATTGGAGGAGCACAGCTGACCGGGCTGTTTTTAGCGGACGATCTGATACTTATATTTAAAACTCCAATCAGAGGAATGTGTTATCTACTAGGGGAATTAAACCAGTTCTGTTCGAGTATGAAGATGACACTGTCTGTAGGAAAATAATTTGTTCTCACAACAGGGGATCATGGCAAAAAATGGAGGATTGGTAATTCCGAGGAAACACTGGAGGAGTCGCTGATTGCCAAGTACCTAGGAGTAAATATTCAGCTAAGAGGCAGGTGTGTTCTATTAAGAGAGAAGGATGTGGTCTCGTCAGCACGAAGGTACGCTCACTCAATCATGAGCTTAACATAGTCCAACCTGTTCTATCTGTAACATTATCCAGGACGCATGTCTCTGGAGCAGGAACGGGAACATACAGTAAAGGTTACTTGAGAGTCTAGTGAGTATCCTTGTGACCCGTCCTAGACTATCTGAATCCAATCTCATCAATGTTATTAGACAGCTCAGCGTCCTAAAATACATTCATCTATTGATTGGGGGACAGGAACTTCTTGCAAGACTGGAAAACATCACTATTCATTAAGTTAAATAATCACATGCAAAGTACATTAAGACTTTTAAAGAAAGGTTAAAGGTTAATCTTACATCGATGTCAAAATATACGTAGGCAAATTAGAAGCAACATACAGAAGAAATTTTTTTAAATGTCAAGACTCATGAAGTTATCAACGATTGAATACATTTTTTAAAAAATTTAATCACAACGTTCTGGTAGTAGCAATCATGGCCGAGCTAAAGATGAGTCTTGAACCCACTAAATACCGATTATTTGTTGGTATTTGATACTTTTAAACTTGTTTTTCTTATGGTCAAAAAATATGTTTTTCAGGGGAAACAGTCAGTATGTATGTCGTAAAGTTCTTTGATTTTCTTTTGTTATTTCAAGACAAATATTTTAATACTATATTATCATATTTTAACAAAAAGTTTCAAAAAATGTATTCCAGCAAGAATTATTTGTATATCTGGACAATGTGGTAATTTTCATATACCTAGTGGAGGTTAGATCCTCATGAGGTCTATCTGCCTGGGTGAGCCGGGAAAGTATTTGTAGAATCCAATCCAACCTCTCACAGTCCGGAGTAACCTTCTCCTTAACCTCCACATCCTCTCTACTCTCAGATACCATTCGAGGCTCTTCCTATAGTATTATTCTTATCATTAATATAATTTAAAGACACCCTTCTCACCAGGAGAAAACAAAATAAGCTATGTTTGCTCAATTATATCTTAATACCCTTAAATTCCATTAAATCCCAAGGGTTCCTTTCAAGAAGTTATTGTATTTCTAGTGTGGAGACAATGTTGGCCTTTAGGTCAAAAGGTTTAATACTTCATGCAAGCTTTGAAATGCGCATGACAGCATGCTAGACCCTTGCATATCGCTAGTTAAATAAATACCCATCAAGCTTAAATCACGGGATAAAATAAAATATTTCAAGTGAAATTAAATACCTGGAAGGAAGGAGGAAGGATTATTTTCTGGATAAATTGCGACGTGATCGGTGAAGCGGAGTACTTATACACGGGGAGTTCAGGACCGGAGAGTTTTATCTTTTTGTCTGAAGGGGTAGAGAAGTCGTCCGGAGGGTTTCTAACAGAACTACCCTGACTCTCCGGTAGTTCTGTAGTTTCAGGGATACCTGATGTTTTCTCCACGTCTTTAGTTTCTTCTGCGGGGAGGTTGGTTTCTGTAGATGGAGACGGTTCAAGAACCGAGGGTTCAGATTCATCATCTGAGAATGTTTCAATAGGAGAGTAGGAAGGATGTTGAGGAGACATATGAGAATGAGAAGAGGAAGGTAGAGGTGGAGAATATGTAGAATGTGGAGGGGAGAAGGAGGAAGGATGAGGAGGTGAATAGCTTGCCTCTGGTGGAGAGAGGGGAGGACTAGAGGGAGGACAGAAGTCGGGTTGAAGACGGAATGTAGGGGATGGAGATCTAGGATATGTTGGAGAACTGAACCCTGATACATCAGGAGACAGGACGGATCTATCCGGAGAATACCCGCAGGACAAATATAACGGAGATCTATCCGGGGACTGGAGAAGACTGGAAGGAGAAGCAGGACTGTAGTCTGGTAAACCTGATCGAGGACTAGCTGAACCATGAGTATCTCTCATCTGTAGGAACTGCTCTAGCTCGTATTGAACCGCCTGGTAGGAGGGGGAGTTAATCCTAAACACTGGTTCAGTAGGTTTCTTAGCCTTCTCCTCCCCCCTTTCCTTGAGATCTGGATCTTTTACTTTCTCTTCAAACTTAACTTCCTCAAAATCTATTTTCTTATAATCAGAACATTTTGCAGGTTCTCCAGTTTCATCAGAAGCAGATTTTATCTCCTTAATTACATCTTCAGCAACCTCTTGTTCACCTGCAGACTTTTTAGAACAATTGGAAGTTCCTTTAAGGACAATATTCTGCTGTTCTATAAACCTGACAAGGCTGTAGATGAGCCCAACAGACATGAAGACATTCAGACTGTGGTTGTCATACATAAACTGAAGAAGAGAGTTTACCACCCTGTTATGAAGATGAGTAAGATTATTTTCTAGAATAGATACAAGTACTTTACATCCACCCAGTTCACGGAGTTTAACCCTAGACAAAAACACAAAAATTAAACTAATGAATGCGATTAAGAATATTTAAAAGTAGAGTAGAGTAGAGTAGAGTAGATACCTGTTTACACTCTCTCTGCAGTACAGGCATAAAGCAGTGATAACATGACCAGTTTCTTTACTAGATAAATCTCCAGAATTAAACTTATCTATCAAACAACCAACTCCACCTGAGTTAAAATGTTTATCAATTAACAAAAACCAAAAGCATCTGCGTCAAATTAAATCAAATGTTCTTATTATGAAATGCTATGTGTATGAAATGATTTTTGAGTTTAAACTGTATTATGTAAAATGATTTTTGAGTTTAATTTATATTATGTGAAATTATTTTTGAGTTCAAACTTTATTATGTGAAATGATTCGTAAGTTTTATATAATATTATGTGAAATTATTTTTGAGTTTAAATTAAACTGTCAAAGGGGATGGAGGATATGTTCCGTTTTATGCATATTAAACAAAAGCTAGGAACCCACGGAATACAGTATCAGCAACAAATCTGGTGTTTGACCCTCTAATGACCTCTAACGACCTCTAATGACCTAAAATAACCTCCAAAATGAAAATGTTTTAACTATGGTTTTATGCATATCAAACGAAAGCTAGGAACCCAAGGAATACAGTAGCAGCAACGAATCGTGTTTGGCCCTCTAAGGACCTCTAATGACCTCCAAAATGAAAATGTTTTCGCTTTGGCTTTATGTATATCAAACAAAAGCAAGGAACCCAGGGAATACAGTAGCAGCAACAAATCTAATGTTTGGCCTTCTAATGACCTAAAATAACCTCCAAAATAAAAATGTTTTAGCTATGGCTTTATGCATATTAAACAAAAGCTAGGAACGCAGGGAATACAGTAGCAGCAACGCATCTACTATTTGACCCTCTAATGACCTCTAATGATTTAAAATAACCTCCAAAATGAAAATGTTTTAACTATAGCTTTATGCATATCGAACAAAAGCATAAAGCCATAGTTAAAACATTTTCTATTTGTAGAGGTCATTAGAGGTCATTCAAATTGAATTCAATTGTATTTTAGGAAATTCGAACACTAATTAGGCGTGCAGCCGAAAAATTGGAAGATTTGAACAAAAAAAGAATGNCCCCAACAAACTGGACATCTCCTCCATCCCCATTGATCATTTTATAAAATGCTATATATTTTAATTGATTTTAAATGAAATGCCTTATTTAAGAAATATCATATTAATAAAAAATACAATACAGTTTCGAATTGTACTTAGATATGTTTTTTTACCTGCATTTCCTAGACTGGGTCGTAGAGTTGAATGTTGAGAAAGGTTTACTAGTATCATTAAACTATTCTCCCAAATATCCCTAGATAGGTTTACTATCGAATTATTATCATATCTTATATTTTTATTTAATGATTTACCTATGAATATTTTTGCTAAGTTCAGCAATTACAGCTGCAGCAGGCATTATCTAAAAAAAATATCTTAGTAACCATTAGTATTATTATCAATGATATCATTTTGTATTTTTTTTGAATAAATTATTTATCACTATTTGAGGGCGGTTTTTGTTATTTAAAATGAAAAAAAAGTTATTTCCGGAATTTACTTAAAAAGCATTAACCAAAAAGTTTACTTTTTCTGCTTGCTCTACACTGGCTCCGTGGGTCAGCTTAGCAATTGTCTTTAGAAGGGTTTGTGTCAACTCAGACTTCGTATTCTTCTCCTCTTCTACAGTTGAATTTGAACCTGAACCTGAACCCGAACCTGAAACCAAGAAATTCTGTAATCTATTCAAGTTGGTTTTGGTATTTAATTATTTATT